ACAATATCTATAGACATATATAACTGACAAACCAACACTGTTGTTTGGAGCTTACAATATCTATAGACATATATAACTGACAAACCAACACTGTTGTTTGGAGCTTACAATATCTATAGACATATATAACTGACCAACCACCATTGTTGTTTGGAGGCTCTACAATATCTATAGACATATATAACTGACAATCAACATTGTTGTTTGGAGCTTACAATATCTATAGACATATATATAACTGACCAACCACCATTGTTGTTTGGAGGCTCCACAATATCTATAGATATATATAACTGACCAATCAACATTGTTGTTTCAAACAAAGCATGTGTTTTCCAATCTCCAGCTACAAGATCACCGAACAAGAACTGGGCTCTAAGAAAATCGCCACGTTAAGAATTAACCCAGCAGCAAGAGAAGATTCTGGTGAGTTCGGGTGCACAGCTAGTAACCCTTACGGAAAGCACAGCAAGATATTCAACGTAATTGTAAAGGGTAAGTTGCCGTTAGATAGTGTTGTTGTTTGTTTGTTACTGATGTTCTATATATCATAGTTCATTACTTACTGTTAGATAATATTGTTGTTTTTTCTAATTGCTAATTATTATAAAGTATTGTTATCGTTTCTTTTTTATGTTTTATATGTTATATTTCGTTACTAATCGTAGCTACAGTATTGGCAGGTCTATTCTGGACCATCGTGTATCACGTGAAGAGTACACCCTGTGTTACTTAACAGTTAGGTTATTGAAGAGTACACCTGTGTTACTTAACAGTTAGGTTATTGACAGGTCTATTCTGGACTATCATGCATCACATATAAAATATGCCCTGTGTTATTTAACAATTAGGTTATTGGCAGCTCTATTTTGGACTATCGTGTATCACGAGAAGAGTACACCCTGTGTTACTTAACAGTTAGGTTATTGGCAGGTCTATTCTGGACTATCGTGCATCACATAAAAAATACGCCTTGTGTTAGTTAACAATTAGGTTATTGGCAGATCTATTCTGGACTATCGTGTATCACGTGAAGAGTACACCCTGTGTTATTTAACGTCAATTTTGAAATGCGTGTTTGAATTGTACACGTCGTCTGCGTATGTTCTCGACAGTAATTGTTTTACGTGCCATCTCTAGAGTTTCCACTCAACTGCTAATGAAACGTATATAATAATCTTCACCAGCCAAAACCTTGTTTTCCACATTTTTATAACATGGCGTCTCTCTCCTGGGAGTTATGAGTTCATCCACCAGTTACAAAACGAAATAATCTTATTTTGGTCTAACTCTTTCTAGCCAAGGTTTCTCTTCATCCCCCTCTAGTTCATCCAGTTCTAGGAATATCTGTACTTTTATATTCTGATGTGGCACTCTCTGAATAGTTGGATGATAACCAGTTGCAGCATAAACTCTCAACATCTTGACTTCACCCGGTTTATTTTTAATTAACAGAATAATATTTACATTTTATACCCAGTTAATTCACCACTTACAAAATTGTTTCTCATATTTATTATTTAAAAGTATTAAAAATAAAGATTAATTCACGACTTTCCCCGGATGATGCATAACAATTAGACAGTTAGTATTCCACCCGCCGATATATTCCTCTATACCTGTAATGATAAGATCTGTGCTGTTTTTAATCCTTGTTTAATCACGATATATTCCTCTATACCTGTAATGATAAGATCTATGCTGTTTTAATCCTTGTTTAATCACGATATATTCCTCAGACTTAC